AAAAGTCACAAGCTTACTCGGGTGGGACTCGAACCCACAACCTCCCGCTTACTAGTGCAGACTTCTTAACCACTCGACCATCGAGCTTGCCGTGGTCGGCTTGCTGGTCCGAGTCAGGTGTAGCAGCGAGTACTGCGAACTAGCGCTCGGACAAGCACTGAGCATACAGTGTTTATCAATATATACGTTGGGTAAGGGCAAAACCCGTTATATAAATTAACATCTCCCCAACGCAAAATACATCTTGAAAGAGCTAGTTTCTACAACACTTGAGGCACAGTAGGCCTATGCTGTGCTGCTTTGGTAACATGTATGTAGACTTATAGAGGCTTTGCAGGGGAGCCATCTTGCAGCGTAGTTCTGTGGTTCCACAGGGAAACCTCCTTTGTGCATAATCTATGGAACAAAAGCACTGGCCTGCAAGATGGCAGCCATGCAGACCCTCTATTGTATCCGTGTATTTTACCGTGGAATCGTTAAAGTTGGTTTCCCCAGTGTTGCCCAACATGCATGCATACACATTTGAGAGCATTTGATTGTTTGCACGGCAGTCCATATACTTTGATGAGCCGCGCCATGCGTCGTTCCCCGCACACAGCGAGAGTGGTGCAGTGTCTCTCCACGTCCCTGACTGGGTCTACAGCGAGCTCAGTCAGAACGGCTCCAGCTCCTCAACCCAACCCACGGCGACCTCAACATTACGAGAGAAATATCACAGTACCACAGGCTCCTGGCTTCATCAGTGAGTCATGTTTTTCGTGGACACAACAGTCCTCGATCTTCCAATTGTAGTTTCATTTTTCAAGTGCTCTAAAGTTGAAGGGTTAGGTTGAAATTGTCTGTATCATAAGTGAATTACTGCATGTGTTTCGTGAACTTTTAAACGAAATCAGGCAGAATTAAGAAAATAATAAACCCCATTGGGAACTGTGTCTTCATTTTTGTTCCAATTTTAACCCCTGGAGTTTCTGGAAAAAATAAGTCGACATTTAAAATACCTCAGACAGTCTCTCTATTGAACAACGCACAGCCGGATAATTTTGATAATGTCTGCTGAGAAGTGACAATTCCCGCTGCGTAAATCACGCACTGGCACATAGATACGAGACAGTTTAATTGGGTCTGATTGGTCAGGAGTCTGGGTGCAAGTGACGCACCACGCTTGTGCCAAGTTTATTGAAGGGGATTCTATTGGAGAACTTTCAAAAGGAATATACCATAAAGTGGACGGGGGTGTTCGGGAAAATGAAAGTAACATTTTTGAAAAATCGTTGGAAATCTATTGCACGTTGACTTCTTTTGACTCTCTGAATAAAAAGCTGTTTATGAATGGGAATAAATCTGTGCTTGGCCAGTCTTAAACTAATGTTTAAGACCTTGCTCGGGAGAATAAACCCTGATGATGCTCTCGCTTGTGGTTCGGGTATCAGTCATGTCTATTCTCCTGAGCCGGTCTTAAAGCATGTTGAAGATCAGCCAAGCACATATTTATTCCCTTTTAACTGGAGAATGTTCGCATCTACATGGATGGTCAGATTAACTGAAATGAATGAGCGTTGGCAAAGGATGTACATGAACGTAAGTCATTTTGCCCCTGCAAATTCAAATGCAATCTTTCTTAAGCCACAGTACACCTGTTCACTACCCCCCCCCTCTTTTGCTGTAACAGTCGAAAACAGTCAAAATTCCTTCGACTTCCAGTGTGCAGTACATAGACATATCACGTGTCACTTCACTGATTTTTGATAGGACAACTGTGTTGAGAATGCATCCGTGCATAGGAGGGTTAATTAATCAGTTACTAGGACTGGGCAGTCATCACGAAGGAAACGGGTATTGGTTAAACTAAATCCCGTAAAAAGCACAGGCCTACATGGAACATTGCAAGGCATCCATTGGTATGGAGTGTAACATATACACTGTGCGTTAGGCATGACAGTGTGCTGTGCAACCTTCAGTGTATTCTCGGTGTTTAACACAGGAGAGCAAGAAGTGAGAATGAGGTGGTTTCAGCAAACGCCGGCGGGGACGAGGACTACCACAAGACACAAGTAAGATAGCAATTGGGTTCATTCCTTTTGCTCTTAATAAATGTAGTTGGGATTTTTTCCTTAAACAGAAAGAGAATCTTGAGTGAAGAGTTTAGGGTGTAGGTCGAGTTGCACTCATAACTCAGTAAGCTAATCAGTTACAATGATAGCCAAACAACTGGAAATAAAAGTGTGAGCAGGTCACCGGGACCCAGGGCACCAGTTCGCTGTGGCAGTGTGAGAGACAGATGACATGCAGGGAGCGGATTTGAGCGGCAACCAGGACAATGCAACTTTTCAATAAAGTCACTGAACTAAGTGTTTCTGCCAACAGCGCCCTCTACAGTCTCAGCCACAACAATGAGGAGTTTTGTTTGGGGTGGGATCTTATCAATTTTTCCCTGCAACGAAAGGAGAATTAAACCTGTCTTGTGACAAGCATACGACCATTGTGATGTTTTGCAGAGTAATGTTCACCAGGAGATGTTTTCTTACGACGCCAGTGGCACTATGGGGCCAGGTTCTCCCAGTAAGACATCATTTCAAGGTAAATTCTATGATGTACTTTTAGCTATTTATCGGCGACTTCAAAAGACAAGAAAACAGCGTACATTGTAGCCAGTGTTTGACCACTGTTAGATATGAACCTTGCATCCATGCACCTTTTCTTGTCCATGGACTACTGCGAAGTCACATGAAGAAAAAAGCAAGTTGGGACCAGATTCTTCAAAAATCAAAAATCAAAAATAGAACAAGACAAGCCAGAGTCCATTACTTTCTCATTTCTTCAAATTTAGCCTTGGTTTTTACATCCGATGAAAGTGTCGCATCCAAAGAATTTGTTTTATTATCAGTAGTTGTCCACTTCCATTAATACATGCACTAGAAAGCTAAGTGGGTAGAACACCTGTGTATTTTTCCAGTGGTCACAGGTTCAAATCCATCCAGTTGATCTTCAAGTCATAGTTTTTGTCTCTGTAATTCCTTTTGATATTCTTACCTGCAAAAGCTGTGTTTGTAACAGGTCTGTCATTCATGTTTGTGATTGACGGGGAAGTGGTCATAGGGAGAAATGGAAAACATCGTAGCTTGGAGAGGGTTAATCTGCCTTCCGTAATAAGCACTTGTTTTCCGTTGTTTGTTCTGTTCAGCAAATAGCACTCTCAGAGAAGGGACGATACCGAGGAGACAACACGAGAAGGAATTGGAGATGAGAACGAAGATGATGGAAGCAAAACACCACGAAGAAAAGTTACAATTACAACAGAGACACGACGGAGCGATACAGAAGGTATGCAAGGCTCTGTGTTTAAAATTAGCCTCCTTGCAGATGGAATGGACCTGTTGCTGGTTGCGAGTTAGCCCCACACCTCAGACAACTGGGAACAGTAAACTTATGTAGAAAGTGCAATACGAACGTACCATCTGAAGTTGTCTCCGATTGCGGAGACAACTTGTCTCAATGTAGGGACTGATGTGTACATACACGTCTGCAGTTGAATGACATCGGTTGGAGTTATTGTACTTGTTTGTGTCTCGTGCAGTTCATAGTGTTGATTTGCGTTTGCTTATTGGGTTTCAGTAAACAGGCTTGACGGGCACACCTGTCAGTGGATTGCACATGTTTGGAATTCATTTTGTTTGTCCAAGGTTTGTGGTATCATGTGATATTCAACAGACACTGTGATTGGATAATGCTTGTGAACGGCGATAAGTCAGGGACCATTGAAATCCTGCATAACCTTGTTGGGTTCAGCATGGTAAGGCTTGTCTGCCGTTGCAAATGTTTCAGAACTTTTTTCTGAGGTTTTCAGACGCATGTATGGACCACATCCTACCTGGGAAATTGAACCCAGCTTGGTACACTTCAAGATGATGAATCCATGCATATACAGACGATACAAATATATGTAAATTTGATATCAATTTATGATGGAACTGCAAACTGCTGTAGATTCTTGATCGCAAAAACTCTGAGATGGAGGACATGAAGAGCCATTACCGAAGCAAAAGCAAGGAAATGGAAACAACCGTCAGGAAACTGGAGAGAAAAGGTCAGAGCTGTGTGCAAGTATTCTAATTCTGAGATGGAGAAATATCAGTTAGTCTTGGTTCAAGAAGCCAGTGAGCTTCAGGGAATTGGTGCCCAGCTTGAAAACATGTAATCCATCTTGATACGTGTACATTACACGAACCAGACGCTTCTCATACATAACTGCCGCTCTTGAAGCATCTCCACTCGCTTTCCATCAAATATAGAATCACGTACAAACTAATGCTGCTTACGTATCACTCACTCCATTACACTTCCCCCCAATATCTGTCTACACTCCTGTCACAATTCCGGTCGTTCAGGTCTCCGGTCTGCTAATCAGCATCTTCTGGCATTACAGAGACCGTACCCATCCCGGGGAGACAGATCTTTCCATATTACTGCTCCGTGTCTATGGAATAGTCTCCCCTTGGACGTCCGGTCCAGCACATCTCTCAGCTCTTTCAAAACGCCACTCCAGAAGTACCTTGCTTACGGTGTTAGCTTGTGACAGATCTATTTTTTTCTGTATTTAAATGCAATAATTTACATTTACTTTTGTAATGCCATGAGCGTCTATTTCTCTGGTGGATTTGTGCATTTTATAAATGTTCATTATTATTACATGATCTTGGCTAGCCAGGAACTCTATCATATTGTTGATCATAGCAGTCAACAGTTCTTAACTCTTGGAGTATTTGATGCAGCCTCGCATAACTGCACGGATATACTTTCAATTCAACAAAATAACTTCACATTTGGTTCATAGTTTGCCAAGTAATGCCCAGTCACAGAAATGTTTGATTTGTATTTTTGCTAGTGCAAAGCTTGGTTAAGGAATCGGTCATAATACGTGACAGCAAGGACCAACAAATTGCAGAGCTCAAGAAAATGGTGGAACACAGCGACCAGTCAACTCAGAATGAATTCGAAACCAAGGTAGACGAACACGTTCTGCATAGCTCCGTTTGGTTGAGAGTCAGTCACATGGCTCTTGATTTACGTTTCTCCAAGGCAGCCTTGTGATTATTGGTGTTCCTTTGTTTGGAATTTACTTCATCCACACGGTCATGAACATGGTTTGATCATTTCATTTCAGCTCCATGAAAAAACGACCGAGTTTGAGCAGGAGAAATTTGAAATGCAGAAACATCACACGAGAGCAATACAGGAAATCTTAGATGATACCAACGCAAGGCTGCACAAGATGGAAACAGAATACAGTGAACAAGTGGATCATCACGTAAGTTTGTCACACCAAATGTCAGTATTTCTCAGTACGATCATCAGATAAATTGTATAATAATCTTCTTGTGATGGTCGCTACTTGCGTAGCCCCAGGGTTTTGTTGAAGTGTAAACCCAAAGAGATGGGAGGTGAATCCCGGTTCGGACCACTTCTAATAGGAGACACAACTCGAACTTGACCAGCAAACAGCAATCCGGTTTATTCACTCATCATTTATAAATAGACACCCTGTATAAAAAAATCCAACATGTGCACTTGGGTTCACACATACGGTTCATGTATAAAATACATGTACATTGCCTGCGTTCACTTAATGCACGTTGACCTCAATTTCAAACAAACAGAGTCAGGCTTTTGGCCCAAAAAAACGTGCAAAAACAACACTTATAATCAATAAATTACACTCACCAAGTCCTGGGTAGTTGCACTAGCTGGCACTTAATAAGCTGTTTGGAGTCTTTCTGATAATGCTCTTATTATGCAAGATAGAATGATGGAACGATGGAACCGTTCAACTAGGCTGTGTGCGTAGCTAATGTGCGCTGGAAAATGCGCTGGACACGTGAGGGCGCACTTGCATCCATCACATTTTTAACTCTGTAAATTCGTTAAGCGTTTTTTGCCAGGAGTTTGAGGTAAGCAATTGTACAATCTCTTTGGTTGAATTTCTGTGCTCCATAGAAGGACTAGTTTATGTACTCGTTAGTTAATTTGTACTTTTCTCAATTGACCTATTGAGTTAGCCCCGCCCCTTATACAACTTCAAATACACAAACTTGTGTGGAATGTACAATACGTGCAAGTAGCGTTGGTGTACAATGGTGTATAACACGCAAGCTCTCAAAGCATTTGCTTTACAAATGTTCGCATTGATCCCAAGTTATCTCAGATTTCTGAGACAACTGGTGTTTTTTTTCTTGCCGTCTATGATGCATGGACTGCATAGGTATGTACATGTACATGGCCATTGTTGAATCGTGCAGTGGAGTTACAGTCAAGCATAATACGTGCAGTGCATCTTGTTAGGTTTGCGTATTGCTTATCGACAAATCAGCCGGACAGACGCATATGCAGGTCGATGGCACGTAATTGGAATTTGTTTGGTCGTCCAAAGTTTGGAATATCACATGATATTCAACAGATGCTGTGATTGGATGATGCTTGTGAACAGCATGATCAACATCTGGTCAATTGGGAAAAATTCACCCAAATCTCCTGTTTGATTTTGATTGGAAGAGCCTAAAAGATATAGATGCAGTGAATGTTGGGTGTTTGTTGTACATTTTGTAGAAAAGACATGAGCTTCGTCAGTGCATGTCACCATTTAGCAGATTCATGATTGGGACTATGTGTAAGACCTTACCCAGCTGAATTCTGCATAACTTGCCTTTTCTCAACACATAGTGAAAGTCACAGCAGATGGTTGCATACATTAGAGTTTCATGCATATTTGGTATCATGTGCCCTCAAACAGTTTTCGTCTGAATGCACACAACCCTTAATGTCTCTGCATATTGGGGTACACGTGAGCTTGGCCCCAAGACTGTATTTGAGTTTGTATAGTGACAAGGAGATAAGGCATATCTGAATACCACAGGCCACAGTCATCAGAGACTTAGAGGAGAGAATCACACAATTGACTCAGGAATCTGAGAATCAGAACGCTGCCCAGGCAGAACTGGATCGGGAAAAGGCTGACTTAGAGAGAACAAACAGGCTGGTAAATGCCGAACTGGAGAACATCAGGACAAGGTGAGACATTTTATCAAAGAAAGTCCAAAATATCAAGTATTGATTATGTGCCCCTGACGTCCTCTCTAAAGACCACAGTAAGACTGTAATGGCTATTACATTGATATGTCGTCTCACCAATCAATACCGTGAACCTTCTAGTCAGGTATTTGCAGGTGTAATTGAGCCTTTTGTGAGTTACATTTGAATGCAGTCTGGTACACTGAGTTCTTTAATTTCA